CCTGATGGTGTGGAAAAAAACACACCCATTGGAGATGGTGTTTTAAATTGCTCTTTAAGGTCATATCCATGAGTTTCAGCAGTCAGTAAAGATTAATGTTGTATTGATAACTGAATAAGTCTGATTAAGGCACGGTGGGAAGGATGGCCAGCTCGCCCACAATTACCCAACCACACCACCGACTACCAGATATTTTCCTTTTTTAAGAGACAATAGGAGTATAGACACACAGGGATTGGAAAGGGTGGGATTAGAGCACCAGAGGGAAACTGTCCTTGAAAACGAGAGAAGCGCGAAAGGGCTGCAGATCCAGCCACTGGTCGAGTTCGCACTTGGCATGAGGACCTGTTCAGGTCACAGCAGCAGTGATTACCAAAGGAGACAGACAAAAGACAAGTACAAGAAAGAGCTGAAACCCCTAGCTCTGTGCTGACTGCCTTCGCGTCTGCATGTCTCCGACAGTCCATATGCGGGCGGCCGCCATGATGCTGTGTCAGTTCCAGGCCACAGCCACCAGCCGCTGCAGCGAAAAAATAAACAGAGGAGAAGGCCGGCTTGGAGCTGGAATGCGGAGGTCGGCTCTTCCGGTGGTCAGCAGGCTTTTTGCCTGACGCTGATTCTCCCAGCTCTCTGGGTGATCTCACCACTCAGGAGGAGGCGGGAGTTCATGTCAGCAGCGTGGAACAGACTCCTTGTCCCTTCAAAGTTGAGAATGCTACTTTCTAGACCCTTCCATATCTCCATATAAATAAACCAAGCCTGGAGAGGCTCCAAGTCACCTCTGTTAAACAAGACAGAATTTAAGCTTCTCCCGAGAGCTTTCTGGTAACCTGATTTCCATTCCGGTGAAGAAGTAAAGGTACGCCCACCAGTGTCATGGTGACAAAGCAGAAAAAATATGAGAAGCTGCCTGTGGACACGTGTTCCAGTGGTTATATCACGCACATGGATTTCCTGTTTCTTAGTAAAATAAATACGAATACTGTCACATTGACAATTCACAAAGTTCCACGTGTTTGGTTTCATCCTCACCTTCTTTGTTTTTTTTTCTTTTTTTATAAATTTATTTATTTATTTTTGGCTGTGTTGGGTCTTCGTTGCTGCATGTGGGCTCTCTCTAGTTGCGGTGAGCGGGGGCTACTCTTCGTTGTGGTGCGTGGACGTCTCACTGCGGCGGCTTCTCTTGTTTTGGAGCACCGGCTCTACGCGTGCAGGCTTCAGTAGTTGTGGCACACGGGCTCAGTAGTTGTGCCTCACGGGCTCTACAGCGCAGGCTCAGTAGTTGTGGCACACGGGCTTAGTAGCTACGTGGCATGTGGGATCTTCCAGGACCAGGGCTCGAACCCGTGTCCCCTGCACTGGCAGGCTGATTCTTAACCACTGTGCCACCAGGGAAGTCCCCTCACCTTCTTTGTTGATGAAGTAAAGTAAGAATTTTCTATCCAAAAAAAAAAAAAAAGATAATCAGAGTATAAAAAATATGAAAGACTTTAATACGGACACACTGAATGAAGCTATAGGAAAAAAATGGAAATATGTGATGGTGGTGGGATTTAGGTTTTATTATCGTTATTTTAACATTTTTTTTATATTGTTGCTAATGAAGCTAAATCACAGCACCATCACCATCTCCAAAACATAATCACCACCACCAGTTCTGTTAGCAATGTCCTTTTAAAAATACACAAGACCTGGAAATTCCCTGGCAGTCCAGTGGTTGGGACTTGGGTGCTTTCACTGCTGGGGCCTGGGTTCAATCCCGGGCTGGGGAACTAAGATCCCGCAGGCCACGCGGTGCGGCCAAAAAAGAAAAAATACACAAGATCTATAAGATCTTATGGGTAATAGAGAAAAGGAGAGGGGCTGTTCTAAATATTAGCATGAATGTGGCCAGCGTGCGGAAGACACATTTTCCTGTATAAGATTCAATTATCATTCTGAAAGCCAAGAGGGGAAGCAATAATTCCAGGGAAAGGAAGCAAAGGGCTCCGATTTCCTTAGTGCTCATGAGCAGGCATTGACATTACTGCTGATGAGAGAACAGCATGCTTTCAGACAGAGGGTACGTGCATGTGTGCCAAGCTTCTGTGTGCAGATACCCAGCACAACTCCAGCAGCCGGGGACTCAGCAGTTTTGCTCCTGAACCCCACTGAGAGTGACCTCTTAATAAATTCTTCAGTGACTGCTCAGAAATGCATTTGACTATAGATGCCTCAGTGCACACATATTTCCCGGTCGTCATGTAGTTTAGGAAGCTTCTCCCTCGTAATGCCAAAATCTTCAGCAGTGTTCAATTTTACTCACTTCTCAATTCAAATGCCTGAGTTTTTCAAGTTCAACTACTGTCTGAGTAAAATTTACTCATACAGCTGTTTAGAGAGGCTGAATGTGCAGAAAAAGAAAAAGAAAATGACTTGGTAATATAGTTGGGGAGAGAAGATTATTTCAGAGCAGGGAAGGAGATTTGGGTAGAAGGACAATTTTGACCAATCGGAGGATTCCACGTGAGTGTGTGTGTGGGGGCAGATAAGAGGGGCTAAGAAAAGAAAGTGGACTTGTGACATAACTGCCTCTATTACAGTTTTATAAAAGCACTGGTGGCAGCCCTGCATAAGCAGGTGTATCTGGAAGGCTGCAACTAGCTTCCTCCAGTGTAGCCCAGTTTGCCCTGACTAGGCTGATGCATTTCTGACCCTTCCTTTCCTGGTCTGATGGAGGCCTACCCCTCTGGTATTGGAAGGGACAAGGGCCAAAAAGACAAAGGAAGGGGAAAATGCTCAGAACTTACAGGCAGTGGCACCTGGAAACCAGGAACCCCTTTGGGGACATAGTTGAAGCTTCAAGCCCAGCTACAGAAGGAAAGAGTGGTTGGTCGTAGCAGGGGCTCCAGATGCTACTAGAAACGCACCTAGAAAGTGAGGCACCTGGGAATGATGGGAACTTCATTCATAGGATACTTAACTTCTCTGACATCAATTGCATCAATAAGAGGGCTTGCAAATTCAGATCCCAGATCAGACCAGATAGAGCCTGCTGCATGTAAGATAACGGGGAGGGGTGTGATCATGGCGAATAGAAGCACTTGAGGACCTTGTAAATTTACTGTAGGGAGATGTAGAGAACAAACGTATGGACACCAAGGGGGAGAGTGAGGGGGTGGTGGTGGGATGAACTGGGAGATTGGGATTGACATGTATACGCTAATAGGTATAAAATAGATAACTAATAAGAACCTGCTGTATTAAAAAAAAATTTACTGTAGGGGAACAAAATTTGCCACCCCAAAATGTCTCTTTGATATGCAGATTGTTTCAGGCTGAAAACAATCAAATTCCAAAGGACTCAAGAAGAAACTTTGACCTTCCCCCTAACTGCCTAAAAAATGTGGATAGAGGACCTGTTCCAGGAAGGGAACCATCACCGTAGATAACTATACAGATGACCTAGTGTGTAGACGGGGAGGAATCTAGCAAAGTCTGTTTGTTAAAATTCCTCTCTGTGTCCCACTGTCCCTGCATATTCCGGAAAACATTTGTTTACCAAGCATTTGCTTTTTCATCTCCATGTCAGTTGCCTTTCTCCCCTTCAAGTTCCCAAACCACTATCCCCAACATCCTCTTTTGCCTTTAGCTGAAAACAGTATTTAAAGTGAGGTTTCAGCCATTTTGGTGAGTTACTCAGTTTTCCTGGGTCTCTCACATGTATACATGTTGTTAAACTTTTGTGTGATTTTTCTCTTGTTAATCTGTCTCATGTCAATGTAACTCTCAGACCAGCCAGAAAAACCTAGAAGAGTAGAGGAAAATTTCTTTCTCCCCGACAACATCATATGAGAATCACGGCCCAAATTATTCAGATCTTCTGATATTTCAAGAGAAAGTATAAATTTGAATTTTTATGCAAAAAATTTAATCACAGAATGTTGGCAATTGATTTTAAAAGTTTAAAAGTACCATGTGAGACAGACATTGCTGTACCTGCCAAACCACATGTGCACATCCCACAGCCCCTTAAACTCAATATGCCAAAAATGGAACTCATTAGTCTCTGTTCCCCATTTCAGTGAATGCTTTCACTGACTGCCAGTAGCTCAAGCTAGAAAGATGGGCATCAGCCCTGATTCCTCCCTCCCCCTCACTCCTTACATCCAACTGGTGACCTAGCTATGTGGATTCAACTTCTGAAATCTCACTTATATTTGTCCCCTAACCTACTCTCACTTGCTTTGTTTAGGTTTTCACAATTTCTTTCCTGGTCTAATCCATTTCTCAGCCTTTAGTCTCATCCATTTCTTTTTTTAAATGAAGATTAAAAAAAAATTTTATTTTGGCTGCACCGGGTCTTTGTTGTGGCACGCAGGATCTTTGTTGCAGCACGCAGACTTCTTAGTTGCAGCATGCGTGTGGGCTCTAGTTCCCTGACCAGGGATTGAACCTGGGTCCCTGGCATAAGGAACGTGGAGTCTTACCCACTGGACACACCAGGGAAGTCCCTAGTCTCATCCGGGAAGTCCCTAGTCTCAACCATTTCTAATCCTCTAGTGACCTATCTAAAATAAAAAAATTGAAGCAAGTTATTGCTTTGTGCAAAAAATTCCATCTTCCCTACTACCTGTTGGGTAGAGTCAGCATGGTTTGGCATGGCACACAGCTCAGTATTCTGACTCCTGTCTACATATTCAGCCTCATTCCTTAGGTGCCTTTGTCGACTGAAAAAAAATGCACAACCTAAAAGTTGAGAATTATGTTTTATTCAGTGGCCTTACTGAGGACTATAGCCCAGGAGGGCAGCCTCCCAGATAGCTCTGAGGGACTGTTTACTTCAAAGAGGTAAGAGAAGAGCCATGATATATAGGAGTTTTCATTGCCAAAAAAACCCCACAAACAACCATGTAGTCAAACATCAAAAGATTATTGCTAATCACAAAAACCAGACATCTCAAGTAAATGATTTTTTTTTTTTTGCAGTACGCGGGCCTCTCACCGTTGTGCCCTCTCCCGCTGCGGAGCAGAGGCTCCGGACGCGCAGACTCAGCGGCCATGGCCAAGTAAGAGTTGGGCTCTTTGAAATTATTCCTTTGATATGCATCTTAACTATCTAGGGCCAGTGTCCTGTTTTCTGTCCTGAATTTCCCTCAGGACACGCAGCTGTGGGAGACTGTAGTGGCTGATGGCTTGATGTTGGACAAATTTCATTGTTTACACCTTCCTCCTCCTGTTTCATGCTCAGATGCTGACCTGCCTGCAGTTCCTCTAAGGGTCGAGCTGTTTCATTCCTCTCTACCTTTGCTCTCACTGCTCCTATTATCTAGGATGAATGCCCTTGCCTTTCTGTACCAGGATGTGTTCAGTTCTAAGTAACACAAAACCCAATTCAAACTGGCTTAAATAATAAAGTAGGTTTATTGACCTATGCAAATAGTAGGGTAAGCTTCAGGGTTGGTCTGATCTAGTGGCTCAGTGATGTCACCAAGGACCCAGATTCCTCTTTTTCCAGCTTCTGTTGTCATGTCTTCATCTTAAGGCTAGCATTACAAGACAGCCGCTGACAACGCCTGGGCTACCTGCCTCTTTGGCCACATCCTAAATAGGAGTAGTGGTAGAGAAGAGAAGAAAATGAGGTAAACATATTTTAAAATCTTTGATCTGTACAATTAAGATATGTGCCTTTTATAATATCTAAGTTATAGCAATAAAGCATTTTTTAAAATTCTACATTACTCATCGATACATTCTTTTTTTTTTTGGTGGTACCCGGGCCTGTCACTGCTGCGGCCTCTCCCGCTGCGGAGCACAGGCTCCGGACGTGCAGGCTCAGTGGCCATGGCCCACGGGCCCAGCCGCTCCGCGGCATGCGGGACCCTCCCAGACCGGGGCACGAACCCGCGTCCCCTGCACCGGCAGGCGGACTCTCAACCACTGCGCCACCAGGGAAGCCCATCGATACATTCTTAATTGGATCTGTGTTTGTGTTTTTGATTAGATACTTCTGAGACCGAGCAGATGTAGCCTAATAAGACACAGTTACATGTGAATATTATATATAAGTAATCATAATAAAATTACCTTTGCAGGCTTATCTCTAGCACTTCCCAGCATATACATTCCATCCCAGCCAAATTGGATTACTCATTCTTCCTTGAACATCCTGCCCTCACTTCTTTATCTTTGCTCATATTCTCTTTATATTAATTTTTCATAAGTTAAATCACATTTTAAATGAACCCAAAAAGCTTCCTTTTGAAAGGAATCAACTTGTTAGACCTTTTGCAAAATGAAAAATCTCAAATTTCATTATACCATTTACTTTTTGGAAAAACCCAGATTTTCATATATTGAGCTTGTACAAAATGAAAATCTGGTTATCCAGAAATGTTCACAAATAATAGCTAGTAAAAGTTAATAGCAATAATAAAACCAGCTAAAAGCAATAATTCTGAGAGGCAGTGTAATGTCAAGGAACAAGCATAGACTTTGATGTCAGACGAATATGATTTTGATTAGTTTTTGCCACTTACCAGATGTGAATTCACCTAAGTCAATTAGATTCTTTTATAGCAGTAGCCTCCAAAAATCACTGATAGTAATGGGTCTATGTCTCCTTTCAGCTTTTCTGTCAGTTTATAATGATAGCAAGTTTTAGACCAATTTCAGTCACACAGAGATATTTATTAATAAGTGGACCCAGGGCTTCCCTGGTGGTGCAGTGGTTGAGAGTCTGCCTGCCGATGCAGGGGACATGGGTTCGTGCCCCGGTCCGGGAAGATCCCACATGCCACGGAGTGGCTGAGCCTGCGCGTCCAGAGCCTGTGCTCTGCAACGGGAGAGGCCACAACAGTGAGAGGCCCGTGTACAGCAAAAAAAAAAAACAAAAACAAGTGGGCCCCAAAGAGTCATTTATACATTCTGTGCTCTGTGCCCCTGTTCTTTTAGGTCTTCCAACAGCATCTTGCGGTAAATGTGACAACCGTCTAGGGACAGGATCCAGCTCATTGGCTAACTGAAGTCAGATGACCAAAAATCTTCTTAATTGGTGGCTAAATTTGGGACTATTCATTCAGGAATCATGCACCATTTCTAAGGGTATGAATACCAGGGC